CATCAACATCATATCTGTTCACTTGTCTTAACAGTTCAAGGAATTGCTGTGATTGTTGTGTCTTCTTCCCCACCCCACCCCCACCATTTGTTTGCACATTTACTTATTTTTAGCTCCCATGAATAGGTGACAACATGTGGTATTTCTTTCTCTGCCTTACTTATTTCACTTACACTGTATATTGATAAATTAAAAAAAAAAAAAAAAAGAAAAAGAGGGCAGAGATCATGTTAAGTGTTCTTATTACAATAACAAAATGAAATAAAATAAATAGGAAAAAAAATGATATCTTGGCAATAACCTGATTCTTTCCTGTACCCACCATAAAAAAGATAAAAAGTACAACTACAACTGAAATACACCACTATTAACCAAGATAACATTTTTCACTGAAATCAGCATAAAGAAGAGATTTAATAAAGATTAAATTTATACTATAACTAGGGAAACACCCTTATGAGAAAATATAATAATTTAATGCTACCAAGGAAATTAAAATGAAAGATTTTTAACTTTCTTATGAGATTACTCTCCATCCTGTCCAGAAATGGAATCAGATGACTCTTCAAAATTCTTCCACTTAAAAAAAAAAATTATGTGTTAAAGAAAGATTTTGGTTTCAATTATTATCCAACTCTTTCTTTTGCAACCTATTTTTCCCACTTCTGACTTCATACTGGCACTACTTTCATGCACCATGTCTTAAAAGAGATTAAAAACAGAAATGTAGTCCTATATACTCTCCTAACTCACCCCTACTAACATTATACCAGCACCAGGGAACCAGTAAAATAATATCTTATTGAAAAATCATAGTTATTACGAATTTTAACAGAGTTCCTAAAAACAGCACATTTTGGCAGTTTATAGGAAGTGAATCATATTCATCAATAAAGAAAAACAAATAGTATAAAGATATAAATTCACCTCAATTTAGGTTGAAAGCAATTCTAAACAAAACCATTATTTGGCTTTTCTTTCTTTAATTTAACCAAATGAATCTAAAGTTCATCTGCAAGAACAAACAAACAAGGTTAAGCATGAAAACTGTACAAAGGAATTTTGAATGGGTATTGCATTCATTTATATAGTGTATAGCACTACAGCAAATAAAACAAGGCAGTACAGCTGTAAGAATAATGCCCAGACCCAGTGGTTGTTAACCTGTTTTTAGTTTATATTACATATCCCTTCAAAAAGCTACTGAAAGGTATAATTTTTCCCCAGAAAAATGCATATATGCACATTCACATAAAATTGTGCACATTGAGGGATCCATGGAACACTTTAAAATTATCTACAGAACCACTAGGTCAATGGACCACAAGATAGTTATCCCTAGTAAATGAGCCAGGATTGTTTGCTCAAACCTAGCACATAAGTTACAATCAAAAGAAGCAACCAAAGCAATGAGAAAAGATGACCGCCAACATAAAATTCTAAGAAAACCAGATACTTGGAAAAAATGTAAACAAGCAGCTTACCGTTACACACAATATATCAAAAATACATCTATATGCCCATATAGACTAAAATGTATCTTTAAAGAGTTCATTAAAACTTCCAGAAGAAGGTTGGCTGGTTAGCTCAGTTGGTTAGAGCGTGGTGTTATACACCAATGTCAAGTGTTCAGATTCCAGGACCAGACAGCTGCGATAAAAAAATAAAAACTTCCAGAAAAAAAAAATGCAGTTCCAGAAAAAATAAACAAAATAAATGAATATTTAACTCATCTCAGAACAAGTAATATTTTCTAGGCAGAGAAGCCCTGGAAGAAATCACAAGGAAAAAAGGTAGTACATTTCACTACATAAAAGTGTAAAACTTCTGAACATATAAAACCATAAACAATGTAAAAAACAATAAACTAAAAAAATCACTGCAACAAATAAGAAAAGCTGAGGGCTAATATCTGTAAATAGCTGTTACTAACAAATTAGAAAAACATTAACACCCACAATAGAAAAATACACCAAAAAACCTCAAATGGCTAATTCACAGAAAATGAGAAAATGCATATATAAAACACTAACAAATTCAACCTTACTAGTCATGGGGGGGGTGGTAAGGAGCTAGCATTTTTCACCCACTTATTTGATGGTGATATGGGACATGCTAAGACTTTTATCAGTTTTGCAAATTACTTTAAAAACTCTTTAAAACATAATTTCGAAGAAATATTCTGAGATATAGACCATGACTCGTGTACAAGGATGTTCACTGTAGCATGATTTATAACAGAGAAATGAACAACAAGCAAAATGGTCAACAAAAAAAGAAAGGTTTAATAAGTCACTGTAAATTCTTACTGGAGATAGTAATATGTAGCCATTTTAAAACGTGTTTGAAAAGAACATTTAATAATTTGGGATATTTTCACCACACAGTATTATGTAACCATTAAAAAACATATTCTACAAGAATTACTAAATGGGCAAATATCCACAATATAATACGAAGTTAAAAGAGCAAAAGAGCAAGAATGAAATGACAGTCCCAATGAAAAACTAATTGAGAAACAGATCAATAAACATTTACAGATTAATCAACTGTGAAAAAATGAAGTCATACAAATCACCAAAACATTTAGAATGCTTATTTCAAAATGTTGCTAATCAATTTTCAACATTTTCAAAATATTCTAAACAAATAAGTTGAAACTATTTAGATATATTTATCACATATTCAAATCATAATTTTGAAAAAATACAATTTTAATAACTTATGGCTTAAATCATTCAAGCTTGTTTTTTCTAACTAAATTTTGTTTAAAATTTATAAAACTACAAAGATTTTAAATAACTTCAGTAACTTAATATTCACTTATAGATGCTGTGCATGTGTCAAAATTTTGTGGCATCATAACCACCAAACTAAAATTTCAGAATACAAGTATGGTTGTTATTGATAGAGCACTAATGAACAAATAGTTGCTATTTACACAATTCATTCATCTTAGTAAGTTTATCAAACTATGTTTGCCTTCTAAGAAACATGATGGCAAAACTGTCCTATCAATATTTACATATGTTATATATGTAATGTGTATAATAATAACATATATTATTACGTACTTCAGTATTTTCAAGTGCTTTATAAGACCATCAATATTAATCTAAGAAGCAATCATCTGCATATTCAAATGAAACCATAAGCTTAAATATATAAATCAAATTATTTCCTTTTTCTGGAAGTGCAAAGTGTACCATTCCCCAAGATCAAAGTTCTTTTAACTTAAATACATATATGTATGCACATACATACACACAGACATAGAAAATACAGCATATTTTCACAACTCTAAAACACCTGAAATATGTTGGGGGGTGGAAGGAGTGCCAGATAACCATTCCATAAGAATAAAAGGGACAAAATTACAGAACTGCCCTTTAAATATATTTCTATGTAGAAGACCTCAGAGGTCCAGGAATTACTACATCAGGACAAATTAAGGATCTATTGCAAAAAAATAGAATCTTTCCTATAACTTCATTTTATCTCATACGTGACATCATTTAAAAATCCACCAACCAAAAGAATTTCTTTCAATTACATCAACTTTATACTTAATAACAACATTTGCCTCACTCAATAAAAATGTCCTTAAACTAATCAAGATTATAAAGCAATAGCCGTATCTTCATTTGACAGCAGACTGATTCAAACTTACATGTTATATAACCAACCGAGAAACCAATTGTTGTACATATTAACCACAGATGAAGTTTATGGAAACCATTTACAAGTTTTTAGCCTAGCAAGAAACTACTTGCACAATGGGAGAACCATATCAAATTTTACATAACTTCCTCCAGATATGTTATATAAGACTTAAATATAGTGACACTATCACTTTAAACTAAAATAATCAGTAGCATACTTATAATTACCTTCTTTTAGAAACTAAAACCATGGGAACACTTAACAATTAAAAAAATGAAACACAATTGTTCCTCATACCCATGTATATGGTACAGTGTTTAAAAAAAAATCAGATTTTTTTTTATTGATGGGTCACTTGATTTCTTCATAAAGGCCTCTGTGTAACTGGGAGTTCTCTGTAGAATTCACTACCTAAAAACTTTACCAAGAATGATATCTTACATACCATTGCAAACAAAAACGCTAAGAAAAGTAGTTAATTTTAAAAGGGTAATTATCTACCTGAAGCAGTAATGGACAAGTGATCAAAAGGACTGAAAACATGTAAAATTCAAATGTTCAGAAACACACAAACTAATTAAAATTAAAACTTCAATGACTTAGGAACAAGTATTTTTTAAAACAATAATATCCAAGGAGATAATTTCATTTTAAATTACATTGTATGTTCTTCCACTGTCCCTCCCCCCAATATTTCCAAAACTAAAATTGTTTTCATTTTGTAAACATTCTACACAACAGAACCGGCTAAAATAGGGTTAAAATGTATTTGCAGATATACACTTCAAATAAATGCACTTCCCGTGAGGACACCACTAGGTGCTGGTCTTTATCTCCCCACATATTAAAGCCTGAATCCAGCACTACCCTAAAAGAGAAGTTATAATCAAGAACCTCAAGACATAATCATTTTTGCAGAAAATTAAGTGCACATTTTCACAAAGAATCAGGGGAAGAGAAGAGCTTGAGGTCGGTATAGGAGTACAACATATAAGAAATGTTTTTCTTGAAAACTGTGAGAATTTGAAGGTAGCAAAATGAAACCCCTTAAGAATGAGGAAAATTAAATCTAGAACCCAAATGGCGTCCAACAAGAACATTAGATCTTGAAAATGAATATTGCGCTTGCGCAGCCACCGCCCAGCCCGCTGCACAGCTGCAGCTAGAGCCCGACCCCGCAAGATCACGTGCTCCCATGCAGCGCCCGCCCGCAGCTCCACAAACGCGCAGGCGCAAACACAACTCCCGCAGCCGCCATAATGCGGTCTTCACTCTTCAGAAATACAATAGTAATTTAAGAAAATGTGGTTATAACAGCCCCTAGGATTCGCATATACCTTTCGGGGCGGGAGATGAGGGAGGGGGAACCAAGTTCCTTCCTACAGAGCCGTCCCGCGCAGCCGTCCCCGACGCTGCCTCCTCAGTCTGGCGCACTTCAGTCGCCCCGGCGCCGCTGCCACCGCCGCCGCCTCCGCAGATTCAAAAACAAACCCGCTTCTCCCTTGCACGCGCCGAGGCCGTTATGCAAATTAATGTGGGCGGGGCTTGGTGGTCGTAATATATACCACGCCCACTGCGCTATCAGCCAATGAGCTCACGTACTAGCCATTCCCCATGCAAATCTCCTGGTTTTTTATTTGAATGAGGGACATTGGCCCCGCCTCCTGCGTGGAATAGAGAAAGTCTGAGGTGGTGGCGCTGCGCCTCTCGGTTGCAGCGTGAAGGTGTGTTTTGAGTGGAGCTTCCACAGTCAGCGAGTAGTCCTTTGTGAGCGCCCTCTATGAGGCTTGGAAAAGAAGAAATGAAATAAGTAGGTGAGAGTTAAAGAGCAGAAGGAAAAATTTTCAAAAAAGACAGGAGTATGTCCATGTATTCATTTATTTTTAAAATTCACAAAATGTACTTTGAACTGTATTAATAAGAAGGGCATGAAGAAAACACATCTTTTCTTTCAGTTGTTCTATAACAGAGCAAGCACCTCCATTTGTACCCTCCCACTAGAGGTTGTACCCACCCCGTTTAATTTTATGTTGACAGTCATCCCTTAATGAAGTCCATAGGACATAGTGGAGAAGTCACTACCCTATTGGTTGGGAAGTCTGGGGCTTACTTGCCTGTTCCTTGAAATGTGTGTTACTCAGTTTCCTCATCTCTAAAATGGGGATAATGACTGTAGTTCAACTCGGTTGAAAGAACTAAATGATAGGATAAACGTAAATGTGTTTTGCAAAGCAGGAAGAGCCTGAAAACTATTAGATCATAAGGTTTGGTTTTTGTTTTTTATGTAATTTGTCCCTTAAATTAATGTATTCAATATTTATTTAGCAATCACTGTGTTCCACAGCTATGTTTAGATGCCTGTCCTCAAGAAATCTATACTCCATGGAGGAGACAGAAAAGTAAACAGGAAATTTTTGTAAGTACAGTAATAAGAAATTAGCAAAGAGTCATTAATACTTATTTTCATACCTTGGGCCTTTCAATTTACTTGAAATACAGGATGACTTTTGGGAGTATCACCTAATCCAGACTTGGAGAATCAGAAAAGCCTACCTAGAAGACATCATCTTTAATATAAGAACTGATTTAATAAATTTCTTGCCTAAAAGCTGGACTTTATTGTGAGAGCAATGAGGAATCACTTAAAAGGTTCTGAGTCAGGAAAAAACACAGTTAGATTTGTGTTTGCTTAAAGCTAAACTTTGTGAAGTACTTAGCACAGAACATAGTACAAAGGTGCTCAATAAATTATACATGCTTCATTATAATTATTTATTATAATTTATTTAGTACATAGATGCTCAATTTTAAGTAAATGCTCAATAAGTTACAAATATTAATATTGATATTAAAAGTTCCACTGTATAAGAATAAGATAAATGGGAAGAATAATAGAGTGTATTAAGTTTGTTTGTATGTCTTCTATAAACAAAGAGGAACCATCTTTACAATGGTCTATTCTCAAAGGGAAAGGGAAAAATAATTCAACAGTAACCCACTGATTTATCAATTTTCTTCAGTATGTTCAAATGCTAGACTCGCCTCCCAGAGACTCCAACAAGACTGTTTTATTGGATTTGAATCTCCCCAAATATCCTCAACCACATATTTACAATCTCTTCAGCCACAGTACATGCTGGTTAATCTAACCAATTATTGGTTGATTCATTCAACAAGTACAATATTTATAATGTACTCACACACTATTCTTGGCACTGAAGAAACCCAGAGGAAATGACACTGCCTCTACTGGGGAGTCATATATACAGATAAACATTATGAGATCGTTAATATCATGGAGGTATGTATTAAGTATAACAGAAATATAAAACAAGAGGACCTAAATTTTCCTTATAGTGTGTGGGAAAAGTTCACAAAGGAGGTGATGCTTGACCTGACTCATGATGTAGAACATAAAGTGGCTGTCAGACCACAAGAGAAAGAGAATTCAAGTTAAATTTTAAAAAATGCAAAGACACTGAAGAATAAAAAAGGCTTGACTTCTCTTTCTTGGTAGGATGATATTCAGAATATTTATCGAACCCTATGGCACCAGGCACTGTTCAATCAAAAAGGAAGGAAGCAGGCTTCAGACCTCCCCATACCAGCCAGCCACCAAAAAAAAAAAAAAAAAAGAAAAGAAGCAGGCTTAATGACCCCCTACTTTGTTGGATGTTAACCCTTTTGTTGTAGGATTTTGAAGAGGTCCAGAGGTTTCTTAGCTAGGGACTGAGGCAGACTGGTTAGTAGGAGGGATGTTCAGGGGTGGGGCAGCTACTCAGTACAGAAATATCTCCATATTTTATCCACCATTATGGCCTTATTGGCATATACAAGGTGAATATCATTCTTCTAGGAAAAAATGCTGGAGTAAAGCAGAATCATAGAAACTCTCTCACAGAAAAAAAAAAACCAAACTAAAAATAAATATAAATCAATAAATTTCAGTTGTAGCAATTGAACAAGAAAACCGAACGTTTGAAAAACAGCATAAACTCAAAAAAGGAACAGCTAAAGAGAAAAACTGAAGTTTCTAAGTACTATAAGAGAAAGATAATCTAATGCTTTCAGGCTTTGAAGACTTACTACCTGAATTGGAATTCTGTATCTGCTTCTTACTTGCTTAATGTTCTGAAATTCTCTATGTAAATGCTTCCCAATCTATAAAATGGACCTGATAAAAATAGCCCCAATCTCGTAAGGTTATTATGAAGATTAAATTATGGTAAAATACTTAGGGCAGTACTGGATATATAGTAATACCTCAATAAGTATTAGCTAAGAGTTAGCATGCTTGTAGTATGGTAGTAGTGTTAGTACTTGTAGGAGTAGTAATAATACAGAGGTAGCTCAGCTTGAACAATTTCTGACTGCATTTCCCACACTTCCATTAAAAAATACAACCACAATCCGATAATTATTTTTACTTTTATTTGTAGGCGGCTGACAGGTAGAACAACCTGATAATTTTTATGATTGGCCTCCAATTTGCAGAGAAGCTTACTGAGGTGTTGAGCTGGCAAACCTGAGAAAAGTCCAGAAACAGCTCTTAGGAACAGGGAAGCTGACTTCCGGCCCGGAGCGAGCCCCGCGCTGTGGCGGGAAAGCGGCGGCCGCCAGGCCTCCTTCTGGACGCTGAGGGGCCTGAGGGGACGGCGAGTCCTGGGCCAGCCGCTCGCGCCCCCGTGAGCACGTCGGAGGTGGACTTTCTGGCCAAGGAGGCGCTGGTTACCATTATCCCTAAATTAAGTCTAGACACGATCTACCTCATGGAGGGGGAGGGGCCCGGAGACCTTTTAACGCTGATTTACCAGTGGAAGTACCTCTGTGGTTGAAAATTAACCTGAAATAAAGACAGAAGTGTCGGTTGCTCCCTCCAGAGTGGATGGACATAGAAAAGTTGGAAGAAATGAGGGATCATGAATGAAAGGAAGAAACTTTTAGCCCAGTGCCTCGCCCTTACTACATGGAACTTACCGAACTCCTCTTCAATCATGCTTCAGACAACACCCTCAAAGCAGATGAAATCTGGACTCTGATCAAGGATATGTGGGACACTCGCAGAGCCATACTCCAGGGATCTACTCACAGCTCTGTGAGACAGGAGGAGGTACATGCCGAACTGCATAACTTGACCTTGATGGAGATCAACACCAGCAGGGTTTTCCTCACACAGGCTTTCAGTCACATGTGCCAACTGGGCACAAACCTCCAGCCTTCTGAGAATGCCCAGTCTGGGGACTTCTAGAGAAAGGCCTGTGATTTGTTAGGGTCTGATGTCTGTTGTCAGGAGACTTGCTGAGTGCTCAGGGCATGACAGACGTTCTGGAGTTCTAGAAACAATTTCAAATGTATGAAAAACATGTAGTGGTTCAAGGACTGGATTCATAACCTTGGAGAAGTAACAAGTTTGTGATTAGTCTTTAAAACGCAGCTCCCTGGAACATTCTTCAATTCCACATCTCTTTCTAAAGCCGGCTTTCTTCTTTTATGGGGAGGAAAAAAGCTTTAGACAGATAAGTTATTCCTACCAGAGCCTTAGGTGTCCTGCACGAAACCGTTACACATGGAGGATGTTCAGTGACTATTAAGCGTAGATACAGTAGGAAGGGTGATGTGGCTGAGGGCTTATTTTTCTTCTTGATCCTGATCACTTGAACTAAATTTAGAATTCCTATGGACGTTGCTCACACAGGATGGCAGATGGAATGGCTAGTGATGCTGACCTAAGACTTGACCCACAATAAAAATGGAATCAACTAAATCTGGAAAAAAAAAAAAAAAGAACAGGAAGTGTGCTAATCGAAATTCTAAGGTAAAACCCCATGATCTTCGCCCATTGGTGTTCACATTCTGTATAATCCTCTCCCCTGAGTGTGGGCAGAACCTGTGACTTGCTTTGAGTCAATAGAATGTGGCAAAAGTGAATTATTTTTGCTGATGTAATTAAGATCCTAAATAAATTGCTTTTAGGTTAACTAAAGGAGATTACTTGAGTGGACCCGAATTAATCTGGTAAAAGCTTTTTAAAAAGGAACTAGACTCTCCCTGATGAGAGAGATTTTCCTTGCTGCCTTGATAAGGAAAGAAGCCATGCTGAAGAAGCCTACAACATGTAGTGGAAAGGTACTTCAGGAGGCCTGTAGGCTCTTTGGGTAACCTCTAGGACCGGAAAGCAGGCTCCTTGTCAGATTGTCATGAGGAAATAAACTCTGCCAATGAACTGAAGGAGTTTGGAAGCAGATTATTTACCAAGCCCTCAGATGAAAATACAACCCAGCTAACACCTTTATTGCAGCCTCTGTGAGACCCTAAGCAGAGGATGCAGCGAAGTCAGGCCCAAAATCCTGACTCACAGGAACTTTGAGATAGTAAATGTGTATTGTTTTGTTACTAAGTTTGTAGCAATTTGTTACTCAGTAATAGAAGACTGTTGGGAAAATAGAACAGTTTGGTCAGGGCCCTCGCCTCCAGTCCACTTGGGTGTTGTTTTA